TGGTGGGGATAACGGAGCTTTCCTCTGCCTCTGGGGACCAGCAGACGGTTTGAGGTGTTACCTCCTGCGTTCCAGCTGCGCATCCCCCGTCCTTGCCCAGCCCCGCTGGGCAGGAGGCTCAGGCCCTCTCCTGCCTCCTGGCTGGGCCCGTTCTCACAGGGCGGCTGAATCAGCCTGAATCAGCCTTTGGTGCTCGTAGTTCTGCTCCCTCTGTCTTCGTGACCTCTGCAGCTCTCACAGGCTGTTCCCGAGCAGGTGCGTTTCAGGTCAGTTTTGGGATGGTTCCCACAACTGGGCTGGCAGCAGAGTCCAGCCGTGCCTGAGGCACCTGGCTGCGCCCGGGCTGACCCATGGCAGCGACAGGAGGAGCCATCCCTCGGGAGATTTGCGTTCTGAAGTGAAAGCCTTTCTGGCTGAAATCTTTCGATTAATCAAGGAGGACAAAGAGGTCAGGCAGGCCCAAGGGCTCAGAAACACTCACATGCAGTAGAAGTTGCACAAGCCTCGTTGGAGGAGTCAGTGGATTCTTTAAAACCGTCTCGTAGGTGATGGCTGCTGCCATGGAGTCCACGAGCTTTGAGGAGGAACTGCTTCCTAATAAGAGAGAAACGATGACCTGGAAGCCTAGAAAAGGTAAGCGTAAAGTATTAGGGCAAAGTATAGCAGATGGTGAGTAAGGAAACAGACTCTGGTTGAGGAAATACACTTAAAACTCTGGTCATGTATGGGAATTGCTTCTTCAGTTACAGCACTGAATTCCATGGAGTCCACGAGCTTTGAGGAGGAACTGCTTCCTAATAAGAGAGAAACGATGACCTGGAAGCCTAGAAAAGGTAAGCGTAAAGTATTAGGGCAAAGTATAGCAGATGGTGAGTAAGGAAACAGACTCTGGTTGAGGAAATACACTTAAAACTCTGGTCATGTATGGGAATTGCTTCTTCAGTTACAGCACTGAATTATCTCCACATAGATATTTGTGTAAAAGTAATCAGTACTACAAAAAAACATTTTTTTTTTCCAACATACCTATTTTTTTTATAAATACCAATAGGTGAATGTGGTGAAACAAGACTCTGGGTCATATGCCCTAGTTTAAAGTGTTACTTTCCAACAAAAGTCTGTGGAAGACCCTGACTTGGGCTAATGTTGTGCTGCAAGCCTATGTCTGATGTTTCCAAGTATCTGAAATCTGAAACAACTTTGTAGTGATACTACATATGTAAGGAATTGCACATACTGTAATTAAATTAGTAGTCACAAAGTGGATCCATATACCTGACTGAACTATTGCATGCTAAGCATTTAATTATTTCTCTTTAGTTCCTAAATATTTCTGTTGGCTCTTTCTGGGTTTTTTTTAGAATGTTTGCTGAAGAATGTGCCAAACGTTCTTGATAGTGAGTCTGAAGGAAGTGAATTCTCTGATATCTCTCACAATGACAATGATGTCAGTGGCTCTCCAGGTGACTCTGTCCATATGCGTCCTGACCTGGAAGACGTGAGTGGTGATAGCTCCAGCATGCCTGAGGCTGTAACTTTTCCAAAGCTGCAAACTGCTGCTGTGCATGAGGCGGAGGACTGGGATAAAGAATTGGAGGACTCTGAATATGATCCTTATGGTGAGTACAAATTTACTTGTGTTTCATTTGCTTTTTGGTTAAGTATGTGGTTGGAAGTAGGTGCTTTGCAGGCGACTGTGTTTAAATAACTCCACGTTTTATTTTGGGAAACCATTTTTTTGTTGGATTTGTAATGCATAATTTGTTGTCAAATACAGGATTTGAAGGCAGGGTTGTGAAGTTTGTGGGAAACTCTTGCGTGAGCAATTGAATTCTTAGCAAATGAAATGGTAAGGAAAAGATTTATGTGTGTGCATCAAGTTTCCCTGGAGAAGGTAGATCTCAGTAGTGTATCTTTGTTATTCTGAAGCCAAAGAGAAACGTAGATGAAGTGCAGGAATGTAACTTTTTTGTGTAAAAGGACTTCTTCCTTTCCTCCAGGAAAGTTCATCCAGACTGTACACTGTAATGTCCCTCTAAAGCATGGAGTTTGTTGGAGGAGAGCAGTACAAGTGCTCGGTCTCCAAGTATGTTTTGTTGTTGCTTTTGCTGTAGTGTTTTATGGTTTTTTTTGTGGTAGATTTTTTGTTTGATTGGGTTTTTTGCTTGTTTTTTTTGAAGCTTGATCCTCTTCAGTGGATGTGCATGGGATCATTCCCATGGACAAAGGTGGTGATGGATAGAAGCAGTTCCACCCATATCTTTAGAGTTGTATTAATCCTCCAGTTTGGAGACTGTTTTATGGTGACTTGTGTCGAACTGAGAGTCCCAGTCTTCCATTTGCCAGGCTCTGTGTTAGGAGAGAGTAACGGGATGGAGTTTACCAGCAGTGATGAATTTCTGTGTCTTTTTTGACATGTAATAGTACCATTTCCATTTTCTTCTAATTAACGGATATCTTTTGTAATTAATAACCATGCCTGCCTTTGCTTAGGAAATATCAGTTCTCTATTTAATTCTGTAAATGGCTGTTGTATCCAAGTTCTATTTTGATAACATTTGAAAATGGGAAAGTTTTTGCAGCCTTCCTATAAAATCATTCTTATTTTGAAATAGAAATATAGTAGTGTATTTTCACACTGGGTCATCTGAGAAAAGGACTGTTTGCTGTTCAAATTTCTAGAATGTTCTGAATTATTTTTTTTACCGTGTCACATTCTCTGCCTTTATTTAACTAACTCATCCCTACCTGTAGCTTATGCTTTTCAAATCCTCACAGACTAGAGAAGCTGTGATTATAAGATTCAGGTGCTTGTGAAGGATACTGAGTAGAAGTATCTGAGTTGTTAAGTGCTACAAATAAAAAACGTGCTTGCTTGGTTGTTTCCTGGCTTTTAAAAAACTTTAAAAAAATGTTTGCTTTGCTGGCTTGTCTGGCCTTGCTGCTGGAAGGCTGACATGTGGGTCTGCTGTGTTGGGTCCTCTGTTGCCCCATATGCTGGGCTTTTCATTTGCTCAGACCTTCTAGTGTCTGCTGGTTAGAAATCTTTTGCTTGTTAAAGCACTTTGCCCTATTTTTGTGCTAGATTGGTTAAATAACAGGCTTATTAGGCTTAATTCTAGCCCGGTGGAAATGTTGTTCAGAGCTAGCTTTTACAGGACTCCACCCTTCCGTTCTGTCCAGTGACCCAGTTCTTAAAGGGTTTGGAGGGCTCCTAATTGGGATGTAGTTATGGAGACAGCAGGAAGTGGGAGGAAATATAAAAGTAGTGGATTCATGAGCTTTTTGCGCCTGGAGAAAACGTAGAAGAACTGCATGCAGTGTAAGAGCAGGTATCACTGAACATTTTGGAAACTGTTTTATCTTTGTGGCAAAAACCTTCCTTAAAATGAAGATGTTGCCAGATTCAGCTTTTTGTTTGCTTTGTAGGTCTAATTCATTAGTGCTGTCAGATCAAACTGAAGTAGCAAACTGGAAGATGCTGTAGACCTGTAAAGCAACCTGCTATACTATACCATTATTTTTCTAAGTATCTCCCATGGTTTAAATCTTCTCTTTGATCTTCTTTAGATGCTGGCGATTTCCACTGTGGAAGCTTTCAGGAAAATAATCTTTTGGCCTCATACTCATGGCGAGAGGATTCGTTTTACAACCCAGGCTGTCACCATGCAGCTTGCTTTTCTTTTACGCCACCAGTTAGAATGACTGAGACTGCCCAGTTTGATGATGCTGATGAATGAGGTTAACCCCGGTCAGAACTAAGTTTGGCTTCTGAGTTGGAGTATGTTCTTCACCACTTGAGCCATGTCAAGTCCTTTGGCTTGCTTGCGGAGTTCTGCGTAAGGCCAGAAACGCTACGCCATCTCCCAAGTTTTGCTTAGACTGCTTCTGAGCTTTTTATAAATGGACCATCCTGACCTCTGGAAATGCGAGTGCAGGTGCTGGCTGTAAGGAGTCAGGGCATTTCTGGACTGTTTGTGTTATACAGATGTATGTTGTTGCTAACAAATTGCTTTTGAGGAAGTATTTAATTTCTAAACTTCAGCTTGTTTGCCAAGCTTTGCTGGTTTTGACATGCTGATCCCTGTGTGTCTATATAACTTGTAGTTTCCTTTTCTCTTGATGCTGTCAAATTGGTTTGGATAGCTTTAAAAACTCGTCCTCTTTTCAGCTTCTCTGTCATATTTCTATGTTGCAGTTTGTAGTTCCATATCTAATACTGGTGTTTAACAAAACTAGCCGTGACAAATACAGAATGAGTTGGTTTGGTTTTATTTTTGTGTATTTCAGTATAAAAGAATTACAAATATGTGATATGCATTTTGCAAATACATGTGGGCATAGAGAAGGGCCTGGTACATCCAGTAGGAAAGGTGGGGGCTTAAGACTTCTTCACGTCAGACCTTCTTGTATATGGGCGTATTGACCTCCAGTCTCACAAGTGTCTTTATAACATTCTCATGTGACATCACACACGTAATGACAGCAAAAATATCTATGCTTATCTAGTGTCTTGCAGTATATATTCTCTGTGTCCTGTAAACAGTAGGGGATCAAGGTTCCTGATACTGCTTTTATGTTTGTTTTGTTGTTGTTTGTGTTGTGGCAAATGAGGAACACAAAATAGTTCCATAAAGTCCTAAGAGGAGAGCTTGAACCACAACCATACACTTTGTGCCTTTGCTTTGGAGTTACAGGAAATGTTCTCAAATTAAGTATATAAGTGGATTGAATGGCTGGTCACTTGAGTAACAATAATCTTCAGCTGATGCTCCTGTTTCATTAATCACCTCTCAAGAACCTTTTGACAACATGTTTGTTCTCAGGTGAGGAGTTAACACCACAAAAGGGTGGGGTTTTTTGCTTGTTTGGTTGGTTTCTGGTTGTGTTTTGGTTTTTTTAAATTATCCAGTGTATGAGATCAAAATAATTTACCCATTAGTTTGGAAGGAGGAAGTGAATGACACAGTGATGTCAAGCAGTGATGTCTGCTTGATCTTTTCCTAGAGAACAGAGGAGGACAACAGCTCAGAAGAGTTGAGTCTTCTGGTATCCTGCAGCTTCTGGTTATGTCTTAGTACCGAGCAGCAATCAAAGTGAAGAGTGGAGGCATGGTGTTGATGTTGCAAGAAGAGGGCATATTCTTTTATTCCTATATGATGGAATCATCTAGGGATTAGTATTTCTGTCAGAAAATTCCTTTGGCGTGCCTCCAGAACACAGACAGCAGAAGGCACTGCCTAAGAGACTCTTCTTTCCCTGCACGACAAGAAAGCCATAGCTGTGCTCTCTGAGGCACTGGGCGTGGTTTTTTGTTTTGTGGACTGCTGTGAATCACAGAGAGAATGCACCTCGGAGTCCTGCATTAGTAGGAACATGCACTTGACTCTGGCATAGAAGTGAGAACTGACTATGCCCAGTTTATCAGGTTTGGATTTATAGCAACTTCTTTCTCGAACAGAGAAAATGGGAAAGAAACTGGAACATGACTGTAACTGACTCATCAAGTAAAACTGTTGATTTGCATTTGTATAAGCAATATTAATAAATATAAACTGAGTACAGATTACTGTTGAAGTCACAACACACAGTAACAGTAACAGTTCCTCTGAAAAAGCACAGGTTATTTTCTGAGCCTATATATCCCTTCCCAGGCCTCAGCTGTAGCTGGCAATGCTGAACGCTCCACTGCAGAGGGCAGCAAAAAATCGTCTGCCCTGCTCAGTGGATTGTCATCTGGCCCTGAGCTCCATCAGCCAGTGTCAGATCCCCGGGCTGGATTTATAACGTTGATAGCAATTTGGATCTGTATTCTGCATAGCCCTGTTGTTCTGCAGTGAGACTGATTCATGGCCCTGATTTGTTTCTAATTTTTTTTAATTTAATTTACTTTTAAGATATACTTAGTGAACTGTTTGGTTTTTTTTTGCCATGGCTGAGAAAAGAACATTGAGTGACTTCTGGTTTTGGTGTTGATAACACCAAGTTCATGGGTTCGATTCCCGTTCGGTCCCCATATGTTGCCTGATCTAGTTGAGAGGTGTCCCTGCCCATGACAGGGAGGTTGGATTAAATGATCTCTAAGGTCTCTTCCAGCTTAGGCCATTCTATGATTCTGTGATTCTTTAGAATTTTTTTAAAAGGATAACCAAGAAGTCTCTTTAGCATTGATTAGGTTGATCATCTTCCTGTGTGGCTCCAAAATTCTGTCAGTCCCAAAGTCTTCAAGCCATTTTCTATGCACTCTATAAATCAAGATGTGTTTTTTCAGATTGTACCATTAATTGCAATCAGCCTTGTCTGTCCGGGTTGTCTTGTTATATGAAGAGAAATTGTATTGAATGGCTGCCTTGCTGAGCTGTTTGGATTTTAAATGGTTGTAAACTTAAAATTCTTGTTTTCAGTTTCCCATTTAGGTTAAAATAGACACTACCTCCCCCAGCTTTGGAAAAAATGGCATGAGGATTTTACAGCAGAGATGCATTGCGCTCTCTAGGGATATGTTGGCAAATGTAACTTCATTCGTCGCGGCCCTGCTTGTTAGGGAAGGAGCTTAATGTAAAGCTTGATCTGAATACTCTCAAACTTGAGTGGGATTAGAAAAGCAGATGCAGACCTCTCAGAAAGAATCTCCCTGGAAGGATTTGAAACCAAGCTCACAGATTCCAATGTAGCTGTGCTGTGGAGTGTTTCACATTCCGTTGTGAGTCTTGTACTGAGCCTGTTTTGTGTTGACACAAGCGTGTCATTCTAGGCAAGAATGCGTTGCAATTAAGAACAGCATAAGGTAACACATGAGCCAGTTCAAGCCGAGAGCATCAACCCTTCCGCCTGCTCGAATTATTGGAGGGAAAACATTCCCGTTACATGACCAAGATTGTGAATATTTTATGCGTACAAGAAACACATTGGCAGTACATGTATCACTTGGAAAATTTATCAGAAGTGTGAAAGATTTCTGGTAAACGGACATACCTCTCTTACAAGATTTCCCCATTTCTATACCTACAGTAGAAGACACCATTCAAAGGAGAGAAAGCTCTACTGCAGGTTCATTTGCTTGCTGGGTTTATATTGTGGGGGAGACTTGGTAATCTGGTGTAATATAGTCACCCAGAAGGAGACCCGTGTACAGCTCTAAAGCTGCCCTTGCTTTTCTTCTCGTTTCCCCATTTTACAGGTTGAGATGGTACCAGCCTGTTTGTAAAATACTTCAAATCCTCCAAGCAAGAAGTTTTGTTTAAATAATGAGGTGTTAAAAAAAAAAAACCACCCAACTGAAACCAAAACACAAAACTCTGTTTTCTTTGAACAAGCCAGTAAAGAAACAAAAACTTGTTTGGGTGCATCTGTTGTTTCCTTTGAGGCCTACAGGGAAGTGATTTGCAAGAGGAAATAGTTGAAGGAAATGTGTTCATATTTCCTGTTGATAAGGTACAGTGCTTAATTCATACATCAGATTGAGAGAGCGGTTTCTTGCTCTTACATAGCCACATAATCCAGCCCATTTTAATATCTTTTAAAGCCTACTACTTGACTTGTTGTTTTGTCCCATCTTTTAACTAGTGTGCTTTGGCTCTTCAGCTGAGAAAACGCCTCCATTGTTGAGGAGACTGTGAATAATTTCACAAACTGAAAGAAAAATGCTGATGGCAGCAGCTCATCCCGCCCATCTGTGGCTTCCAGGGACACCAGTGTAAATCCCATTGTAATAAAGGTCTTTTTGTGAAGCTGGTGGGTAAGTCTCTGTAGGCACGAGGAAGGAACTTGTGATACCCTTGGTGGTTCTGTATTGCGAGTGTAGACGTCGGAGGCTTGAGTATTAGTGGATAAAATTGTGATGGGGTTGTTAGTCCTGGGAGTACTACCTGCTCCTAGCATAGTTTCCTAACCTGCATCAAGAGTCTGTAACTTACTGAAAGAAGCTGCAAAGTGCACAACCCTAATTATTGAGTTTAGTGATTTTATGCTGTGCAAGGCTGTTAGATTCTTCTGCTTGAAGACAGAGAGGTTTCTGTGGCTCCAGTGGCTGTATTTACTAATATCTACTGGCTCTCACGTAAAGAAACCCATCTGATACTGCACTGCAATTCAGAGCCCCTCTTAAAACTTCCCTAGGGAAAAGGGGAAGGGTGTAGGGGGAAAATTAATATAGCTGCTATTTTAAACTTTTAATGGGTACGTGTCATAGATAGGGATCGCTTTGGTCGTGTAGCCTGACCCTCCATCCGCTGGGATACAGCCAAGAAGTTCCTGTGGCAGAAGAAATGCTTTGTCCGTATTGATTTGACACATCTTGTAAGCTCTAACTTCACAGACAAAATCAAACTATAAATGCAGGTTTAATTCTGAAGTATAAACACATGGGATGTTGTACAAAATAGTACCCGGAGTGCTGATCTGCTGGAACAAGCCCTTGTCCTTACGTGCAAGCCTGAGGAACAGTCTGTGTGGGAGAGCGGGTCTGGTACAGGAATCTCAGTCGCTGCATTCTCCTCCGGGCAGGAGAAGAACGTGCAAGGGAAGTTTGCAAAGTTTGTTTCAGCTCATGTCACAAACTGAAGCGGTACAAGTGGTAATCTGAAATGAGTGCACAAAGATGGAACCTGTCAATAGCCACGGTGCTAATTCAGGAGCCATCATCACTTCCTTGGCTGCTGTCTCTGCTGGATTTGCTAGAATACTAGATTCCCATTGTACATTTACCAGTACCTTTGGTCCAATATTCTTCAGACAGGAC